ATATATATATATAGTTGAAGGAGATAACAGATAATAACCTCGCGAAGAAACATTAATATTACATCACTGGTGGGGGGCAAAAGGAAATCTACATTATGCATTATACCTCCAGCTGGAGAGATTAAAACAAAACGTGAATATGTTGACATGACGCATCCGACACCAAAAAAATAAATCGACATCACAAAACAATTAGTCCTTATCAGATGTGATAAGATAATAGCTGATCATTTTATAACTCCTACCAAATGATGAGAAAAACATAAAGGACGACGACTGAGAGAATGAAGGAGAGCGTCTGGCGCCGCCTTATTAAATGCGTCCTTTTTTTCGCGTGTCTTCTCGTCTCTTGTGTCACCGCACGATACCAAACATGTAAGTCATGATCTCATTTTTGAAAGTAGCCAAATTATTCGATGCAAACTCTTTAATTATCAGGTGATAACAGCGTTTTTACGCGACCTTGTTCGTATATCCAATTGGTTAAATGAGACGGTGTGTAATATAAATTCGACGATAGGAGAAATCAGACGATATATTATATAAATATAGAATATATCAAGCATTATATTATAATAATTAGACCTAACTATTAAAGGCACTGTAGTGTTTTAATAATGACATGCTTTGCACGATACTTTTATATTTAAACATGTATGTAATGGGTTTTTATTCCGGAGACTTTTTATATACTTCCTATATGTATTCAATTTTAACGTATTGCATTACAATGTTAACCAAGTGATATACACTAACGTAAACAAGAATAAACCGGTTTCAGTCTTGTAAAAAAAAATAAAGTATGACCTGATAATTAAGATTTTACATAGAATCTTACAGTCTAATAATTTGCCCAGGGGTCCTAGGTGTTTATTTTTACACTTTTAAGGCAAAGTTTCTCTATTTTTTTTTATGTATATTTAAGCACTCAAAGAATATAAAATGGTAACCAGCAAAAATTTCTGGAAGTCAGTATAATTATTAGTGTGAATTCCCCGTTTCTAGTATTATATTTCTTTTCACATGTTTAATTTAAAAAATTTTTTGACTGCATCCATGCATAAATATAAAACACATACAGTCGGAATGTTCTGAATGCTTATTACAACCTATTAAAATAAGAAATTTCAATAAGACAAGTAGAAAAATTAAAAGTCAATTCCTACTTAGGGTCAACAAGGAAAAATTACATATTTAATTACTTATTATTAAACAATTTTGTTTTATTTTATAACCGTCGTTGAACAGCCGACCCAATTTCATGGGTTTAGTACTACTTACGTTCAACTCCGTAGCCTTGTAATTTTGAACCAATCCAGAAGACAAGGAAACTCCTGGATCAGTACCCCCAGAGGTATTGATTTGCTGTGGGAACATGGAGGACTTTGAGACTCGACAGATTTAACGTGCATCAGTCACCATTTACTACACGGGGAGTCTTCGGCCGGCGAGGATCGAACCCACGAACTCTTGGATATGGGCCCAACGCCCTACCGACCAGGCTGTCCCGGCCCTTATTAAACAATTAAAAAAAGTTTTTTCACCCATATAAAACTTAAATGAATTAATTTAATTTAATAAACTAGTGGGCTTTGCTCCCTGCTCGCTAACGCTCGCCAACCCCCGAAAATTGCTACGCAATCTTATATGGTTTGTTTCGCAAACCAAGCTCGCTTCGTTCGCTACTAACTTAGGTACATTGCAAATCCACAAAATTCTAAACAATCATTCAATTCCATATAACAACTTTTTTTTAAAAAAAAATTACATCTTTTTAGTAAATACTAAGCCATTAAAATAAATTTGAATTCAAATAAATGACATGTAATTCGATAAACCTATTACAAATGTGCTATAGTATAAAATCTTAAAGCGTAACAGCACGACTGAGACTCATTTTTCAATGAATAACTAATAACAATAATAAAACAAATAAATTCGTGATATAAATCAAAAATAGTCAACTAAATTCGTGAAAAAAAAGCGCTTTCGACAAAATACTAAAATAGAGATCTATCGACAAAGACTACTCACTTCTGCCTAGCTTAATAGTATGATTGCCGCAGCTGATAGGGTTAATTTCGGAAGAGTTCACATTTGGTGAAAATGCTCTCTCTGGTTGTTTCAGTTTCCGTTTTTAAAAAGTGCTATATGTGGAGCCACCTCAGATAGATTTGGCATGTGACATTTTCAGCGGCAATCATCAGTCGATTTTCCAGCGTTGCCATTCGGGGAGTTGTAATGAGGTTTTTTTTTTGTCGCCGTGTAAGAGAAATATATATATAGATGAATTAATATTTGAAAAAACTGTATTAACATNTATATATATATGGAGAGATTGTGTGAACTAATAGTTTTTTATTTATTTATTTTTTCTAGCTGCAGCATTTGATATACATCATTCGCTGGAGTGTAAAAACACTCCGCACAGGCCCATAAAGAGTAGCAACAAATAAAATAAATTTAAAAACATTCGAAATACAAAAACATTTAGAATAAAATAACTAATAATAGTGTGAACTAATAGTAGGAATTGGGGGGGAAAAAGGCGCGAGACCACTTTCCTGTTTACAGACACAAAATTAAAAGTACCTTATAAAAATTTTAAAAGCAACGTTTTACAAATTCTATTTAAAAAAATATATATTCTATTTTTATTACACCTAATGGATGGCATTTTCTACACTAAGGAAACGCTGCTAGCTCCATACCGCCTATACTTCCGGGTTACTGTTAACAGTGTATTTTAAAGCCATTTGGCCCACAATGTGATCATTGTGCTTCGAGATTCTTGCAAACGTGGTATTTGATTACTTATTACTTGTGTTTACAATGCTAACAATACTTGTGTTTACAATGTTAAAGGTGCTAACACTAACATAAGATGGTGCACAGCTTGCAACAAGAACAAGCAGTAATAAACAAATGGAAAAAGGCCAAATCAGGACTGCTAAAAAAGCGAGTTATTCAAAATCTAGCAACCATGACACCTTTTTTAACACAATATCTATAAATAACTAAAGCAAATTTTCACTTCAGACTCACCAGAATTACTTAATAACATTAATATCTTACGAAATATGACTGATTTGAGCTCAGAAATTACCTAATTTACTTCTTTCATTGAAAACAAAATTATCCGTTTGAAAATATCGCCTAGTAAGCAGTTGCAAGCTCTCTAACCGGAACTAGAGCAGGTATTGAGCTCGAGATTGTTATTGTTTACATTTATATTGAAAACACCATCCATACAAAAGACGCGTTGAGCCTCCCCTTTGAAATAAACTTCCTCCCACGTCTTTCGAAAGTGGTGTGCCCTACGTTTTCCATTTTAGGTGCATCAAAAACAGAAATTCTTTTTAGTTCAATTCAAAACCGTTTAAACATTTTGTTAGATAATATGTTCTTTTAAAGAAGAGAACATATGTTTTTTTTTCTCCAGATGATGTGGAGGGTATGTGTGTCAAAGGCTCATTGAAAGTATCCCTTGAAAGTTCAGGTGAACTCTCGGCTGGAATTTTAAAGGCAACAGACAAAATATCCTATTCAATAAATATGCAGTGCAAAATACTTTTAGAAGCCCCCACCAATCACTTCATCATGGTCAGCATTCGACAAATTGGATTTCGGACAGAACTACTCGGAAAGTGCATAGATTACATCCAGGTAAGTTTCTCTGCTTTATTTTATAACCGTTGTTGATCCAATTTTATGGGTTTACGACTTCTAATGTTCAACTCCGTATCCTTGTCATTTTGAACCCAATCCAGAAGACAAGGGAACTCCTGCATCGAGTAGTGGGAGAAATTTGCCTTCGTGGAGGACTTGTTGATGGAACTAACCTGCATTTGCGTTACATGGAGAGGAAGACTGCGAGAACCTCCCACTGTTAGCCTGACGGCAAGGGCACTCTAAACCATGATCCGTCTACCACTGAGGATATTTGACATCAGCACTGTGGTCGGTGCAAGCCGGGTGCGGAATTCGCATCGACTGGGATTCGAACCCGGTTCGCCTCATTGGAAGGCGAACGCTCTATTCCGCTAGTTTCTCTAGAAGAAGAACTCCCCCAGACATTCGTCTGGATCTGCGGCGGTGACTTTGGTAACGAAGTATGACTATTTCAAGTGGGGGTGCGGGGTCATTGTTTTGGAGTAGTTTCGGGAATCTCTTCGGTCTATTTTTTTAGTCCTAGAGTGAAGCTACCCTTCCTTAAATGCGGCATTCTTGTTTCCATAGCACTGGACCGACTCAGACATATATATATATATATATATANCCAGAGCACCGATAATAACAGGGCTACATTCCTGTTATGATTGCTGTATTCAGCTTTAATAATGCAGTCAAAAACCATGATACGTTATAAAAAGCTTTATTTAAAGTTAGGCTGGTGGTTATAACAGTTCACATCCCCACTCCACAAGGGAGGGGGTGTGGACAAATCTCCGGATGGTTCCGGCAGATGTTTATTGGAACACGTTATTCAGCAAGAGACATGCGAAAACCATCGGTACCGCATTAAATACTACAGAGAATGATGTAATTAGGTTCCAGTCGTACATACCTTTGTAACTCTACGCATTATGGAAAATCATTTAATGCTTCCTAATATGGAAGTGAAAGAGGGACAAGATTCTAAAAATAACTCCTCCATTGAACTATAAATCTAATTATTATTCAATGGTATGTTTTCAGTCTTGAAGTTCCAAAATAGAATTTCTGCACCTACTCTCTAACAAAGACATTTTATGAAAACGAAAGAGTTTTAATGGTTTTATTAATATAAAAGTATTTATAATTTTTGTATTACATCCCCCCCCCCAAAAAAAAACTTTTGGTTAGCCAAAATAAAAAATTTAGAATACTTTAAATTTCTAAAATTTAGGTTGGTACGACTGTTCCTTTTCCCTACTACAAATAATATTTTTTCAATTATATATTAAAAAAAACAACAATTATTTACAATGACAAAAATATAAAAAACATGATAATGCAATTTACCTGTTTAATAACTAAACAGAAAGAAAAATGAAACATGTTTATATAACTATTCTACTAAAATTTTCAAAAATTTTTCACACAAAAATATACAATTTTTTATGCGAACGAACTGGACAACAAGTGTCGTTTAATCAGAATTTAAGATTCTGTGTGGTTAAAAATGTACACAATTTTTATGTGAACGAACTGGACAACAAGAGTCATTTAATTTCAACATTTGTGGGCTGTGATATTTCCTAAACTTTGATACATGTACTTTTTCAAAATTTTGGTTACTTAAATTTTCTTTTTATTTATTTTGTAATCAGTTTCTTGGTCATTCTTTCTTTTTCCGATTTTTCCTTTTATTTTTTGTTTCTGTTACCCTTTACATATTTTTTCGTCGATATTAACCTGATAATGTACGCATCCATTACCTAGATCTATCTTCGAATCATTTGAACTTTTTGGACATTCTTTCTTTTTATTTTTTCAATGTTTACTTTTACTGAAACATCTTTAACTTATATTTTTTCGATGTTTACTTTTACTGAAACATCTTTAACTTTTATTTTTTCACCATTTTTAACCTTAACATTTTGAGAATTTTGCTGTCTAATGTTCAAAGATAAGTTGTCATTTTTAGAATTAGCAGAGATGATCAGTCTCTTACCAAACAGAGTAACAACTGGCCCGACACAATCAATAAACAGACAAAAATTTTTGCAAGTTTGCAACCCTACTAAAGCATATGGTAAATCAGTATCAAGTCTAAAAAACTTAGCGGAGTTAACAATTTAAGCCTATCGTAAAAAGGGAAACTCTCAAATTTTGTTAAGTGTGAACTGTCCTTTTGTTTGGATAACATAAGTTTTCACATTTTTTAATAGGAATATTTAGTTTTGACCAAGTCCGAAAAAGTAAAAGAATTACAAATTTCTTTTTTTTTTCATTTATATTTTTCTTTCTTTCTTTTTGGACATAAAATTGATAATTTAATTTGTCACAATAGGGTGTTAGGAAATTCTAATATTTTTATTTCTATTTTTATTTTGTAAATATTTTGAGTGCATTCAGTTACTAATACATTTCAATTTGTGTTTTAGCATTTTCCGAACTATTTGTATTAATTATTAACATTTCTTGATTTAATTTCTGCCACACCGTAATTATATTCATATATTAAAATTGAATTTCAATAACTATTGCAGTTACATTTAGAAGAGAAAATTTTTTAAATGGCATTTATATCTTAAGCCTAAACACCAGTAAAACAAATATATAAATTCTACTAATCAATCATTCATGGAAACTGTAACACATAAAACAATAAATATGAAAATAATTTCTCGAAGCATTTTTGAGCCAATCAAAACGATCAGAATCGGAAAATAAAAATTTCTCAAGAAAAAAATTTTCAACAGTAAATGCAATCAATGTATAAAAAATAATTGTTTCAATTAAAACATCAAGCATGAGAAAAAAATTAAAAATCATACTCTATGATTTTTGCTATTTACATGAATTCTTTTCTTATTTTTTGTTAATCAATAAAAATTCAAGAAATTGTTTTATGAGAAATGTAAAAAAAATTAGCATAAAGGATACGAGAAAAAGTTCGAACCAGTCCAAGAAGACATTCCGAAAACCGCAACACCAGATGAAAGTTGATAGGAAAAAAAAATTTGCTTCTTCGATTCCAAAACACATTTTGAAAATCACAACATCAGATGAAAGTTGTTTTTGTTTCTTTGTTAAGAGGAATCATAATTTAACACCGATAGTGAAGGAGAAATTGAAGCTTATTTTTCTTTGAGTTCTGAGTAGGAGGAGGGAATGTCGAACATCTAAGTAGACCATCGGGGTGCGAGAACAATTATTCTTCGACGATAAAATGCTAAGATTTCCGGGGTTTCAAATCGAAAACTTTTTAACGTCTATCTAGGAGTTCAATGCAGATTTTATTTTCTGTCCAAGAGGGGAGAAAAAGATCGAATTCAGCTCTCTAGTAGTATTCATCGCCTTCAGAATGTAGACATAACATTCAGCATGCACAAAAGGAAAGTTGATGATTTTTAAGACAAGTTCCACTAAGCGTAAGTATCATTTATGTAAACGAAAAGTTTGATGATTGAAGAATTTATTTTTTGTTGAAGATACTCGATAAATTATTAATTATCATGAGTTGCAGAAGAATTTGACTTGATAAATTTTCAACTGTCCATGCGAATGAGATATTGGATATTTTTGATGTATTTTTCCCCCGTGGGTGATGAGGTGAGGTTTTCGAAGTCACAGCCGGCCTCTAAAGAACTGCGTAAGTTTCATCCAAAGGGTTTCCTCAGCAAAGCTAACATCTTGCGAGGCTTATAATAACAGGGCTACATCCCTGTTATCATTGTTGTATTCATCTTTAATAATGCAGTCAAAAACCATAATATGTTATAAAAATGCTTATTTAAAGTTAGGCTGGTGGTTATAACAGTTCGCTTCCCCACTCCACAAGGGAGGGGGTGTGGACAAATCTCCGGATGGTTCCGGCAGATGTTTATTGGAACACGTTATTCAGCAAGAGACATGCGAAAACCATCGGTCCCGCATTAAATACTACAGAGAATGATGTAATTAGGTTCCAGGCATACATACCTTTGTAACTCTACGCATTATGGAAAATCATTTAATACTTCCTAATGTGGAAGTGAAAGAAGTACAAGATCCAAAAAATAACTCCTCCATTGAAATATAAATCTAATTATGATTCAATGGTATATTTTCAGCTTGAAGTCCCAAAATAGAATTTCTACACCTATTCTCTACCAAAGACATTTGAAAACGAAAGAGTT